TAAAAAGTGAAAAGTAAATTGCCAAAAGTACTTCAAAATCCGGAAGGCCCATTTTGGCGGTTGGGTCATAAATGTGTTATTTTTCAAATTATCATTTATTTTTAGTGTAAAATGTAAGTAAAAATAGTTTTCTTACATATTTCAAATAAATTGACGTTGTATTTATTTCAAATTCACACAAAACTATTTTTGAAATATTGTTCGAAATATCATACAGCTAAAATATTATTATTATTTTTTTTAATATTTTAATATTTTGGTATGAGTAACGAATAGAAACACATAAAACATAAAAATATACATATTTCCAAACATTTTCATATAAATTTCTTCAAAAAAAGCGTGTAGAATTCAAATTAGTAGTAATTTTGTGACTAAAAGTGAAGTATATACTACTACTATGCTATACAGGGTAATTTATGTATTTTATTACAATTTCTAGCAACCAAAAATAATTTTATTAGATAGTTTATACATTCAACAAGAGATCCTGTAAGTTTTATCCATAAATATTGTCTCAAAGTGAAAATATAGCAAAATTTGCAATATAGCAAAAAATTTTCTAACTTACAAATTTTCCCGCCATTAAGGTCCCGAGCGAACGGGAGTATAACATGTCGCGCGCTGTCAGAGCGTACAGGAACGCTGTTATTCTACCAGCGCCCAACAAATGAGAACAGAGTACAGTGCGCGCGCATCCCTGCCTATATTACATTTAATCACAACTGTTCATATTATAACCACGGTATGTACCCTACACACCGTGGTTTCGCAAGTATTAGCGAGTATTAGCCAGTTCAAATTAGTAATTAAGAAATATTTTTAATTATCATACATTTTTTTCCATAAAATTTATATTTTTAATAATTATTGCAACAATACAACTAATACTAACAAACAAAGTATTTAATAATATTTATTTTATTGAGCCTAATTTATTTGAGCTCATAAGTCTACTACCGCCTGCTGGCAATGTTTATTTAATAATTTTTTTATTATACTGCAAGTCATTGGTGCTTTATTGCATTCTTTGGGAGTGGTCTATGAACAGCAGTGTACTTATGAAAGGCTATAATGTTGATGATGAATGTACTCATTTGTATGTGGGTACTTCATAACCCTATATAGTCATGTGGATGTCGTAAGTTACGACTCTCAGAAATGATAGAAAGGTATTGAGAATTTCGACTGATAGCAGTATCCATTCCGTGTACGCTAGACGGTCGGAATAAAAATACAGACAGACGCCGGAATGGAGCGTCATAGATACGGAAAGTCTGATTCTGTGATCACCAATCAGCCTTACATGCTTGGAAGTAAATTCCGTGTCTTAATTTTTAAAAACAAATAAATAGAACAAATACTATATAACGTAGTACGTGACTAACCTTAGCTTAAGTTTAATACTGCTAAACAGCATAACCATGATTTTTTTTATAGGATAGGGTGACAAACGAGCACACAGTCCACCTGATGGTAAGTGGTTGCTGTGTGGCCCATAGACATCTACATCTATCCTCGATTACGAATCAAAATGCAGATGCGTTGTCACCCGTGAGGACTAAGATGGAATGCCTCGTTTCCAGTAAAAAGGGTCTCCAATTCTCCACACTACCATACGAAACACAGCAGCATTAAGCTACTATTTACCTATCTTAACGTGGTCCTTCCCCGGTCGAGCCGACCCATTCGTGCTACAACTATACTTCTAATATAACTGCAGTATGGCTATACCACGTATAAAAATGATAAAATATAATAATAATATAATAAATTAAATAAAAATATAATAAAGTAAACCTGAACTTGGGCTAGTACTAATGAAATTGTTAATAACAGTTTTCTGGTAATTGACCACATGATTGTCAGTGAAGGAAGACAAAAAACCTAAAAAATTAAGGAAATGCAATAACCAACAACGCATGTATGCAGCGACCCTTCTTTTCTACAACAACCATCTCAGCAATGGAACTTATCATATAGGCGGTTACTTTAAAGTGATTTGAAGTAAAGAAGATTTGCACTTATACAACATTAGCTATCCGCACCGGCTTTGCACGAGAAATTTCTGGATCTCGACAGTAACGCCATCTACCGGATCCAAATGTGAACGTAAACCATCTAGGGACCTATGAATAGGTCACTGTGGTCAGGGGTACTAAATACGTGCAAAAATCGAACAAAATTTATAATTTCTTAATGTTTAGGTAATTTTTTTACATATTTACAATTATTAAGTAATTTACCTTAACCACAGTTATTTTAAACAAAAACGAACGAAATGCCGAGACGTTAACCAATAAATCAAGTATACTCTTTTTTGCCTATTTTGTCTTATTTAGTAAACAATCTTCACATATCTTTTTAACGAAAAATTCAATTAAAAACATGAAAATCATGTTAAATAAAATTGTCTGATAATGCCGGGATATGGTGTGGATGATCGATTGTTAAGGGCTGTGCAGTCACTTTACTATGACTGTAAAGCCTGTGTGCGGGTAGGGCATGACCTGTCACCCATGTTTAGCGTCCAAGCGGGCGTAAAACAGGGTTGTGTCATGTCTTCCTGGCTGTTCATACTGTATCTCGACAGCTGCTTACAGAAGCTGAAAAATAGCTGTTTGGGTGTGAAATTGGGTGATATAAAAGTTAATTGTGTGCTGCTGATGATGCAGTGCTTATTGCACCATCAGAAGCAGAACTGCAGGCATTAGTCACGTGTATGAAACAGGAATGTGAAATTAAAGGTCTCCGTTTGAATGCTAATAAAACTAAGGTTCTGGTATTTGAAAAGGACGAAGAGAGAACGAAATGTGAAATATGGGTAAATCAGGAATGTCTAGAACAGGTAAATGAAATTGTATACTTGGGGAGTGCTTTCAGCCGGGATGGAAGATGTGATTTAGATGTGGATAGGCGTGTCGCTGCCGGAAAAAAAGTCAATGGTGCCCTGAATGCATTAGTAAAAAAGGCAAGGCGTGGTGAAGAGTGCACGCCTTGCAATACATAACGCAGTGTTGGTACCGACTTTGTTATATGGCAGCGAAACCTGGGTATGCCAGAAGAAGCATAAAAGAAAGTTGAATGCAGTGGAGATGCGATCTCTTCGTAAAATGTGTGGCGTTACCATAGCCGACCGAAAGCGAAACGAAGAGATTCGCAATATGGCAGGATTGAAAGATGACCTTATCACAAAAATTGATAGTGGCGTACTCCAATGGTTTGGGCACGTTGAACGAATGAGTGAAGACCGAATGGTGAAGAAAGTAAATATTAAAAGGTGTCGAGGTAGACCGAGACTAACTTTCGAAGACCATGTGAGCAAATTGCTCGAAGAGGGGAGGGTCAAGAGTACTCGGATACCTAGACGTGCATGTATGAAGAAGTTAATGAACCTGAAAGAAGCGAAAGAGGTATGTAAGGATCGTGATACTTGGCGATCTGTTCTCTCTGGCTACCCCGTTAGGGATTGTGCGTGAAGATAAGTAAGTAAGTAAGTAGTCTTTGATAATTTATCACTTTTTACCAAATCTACATGTGGTAAATAATTTTTTGTATTTTATAAATGACTATTGCATTAAAGAGTTGTTTGAAGATTGTTTACTAAATAAGACAAGTAACAAAAAACAGACTATAGACATAGTCTGTTTTTTGTTAAACCTAACCTAGTAAAACTAAACATTGTAAATGAGATTATTCTTCAAAAAAAATATTTAAGAACTCTGGAACGGAGAAGTGAGCCATATGTTTCTCTTATCCCAGCCATCACTGTTTCACTTTCCCCAATAAATACTTTTTGAGGCTAGAATTTCTACCGCCTTATAATTCAATTGCATGCACGTTTTAGCTAACTACTATTACTACGTTTGACTATTAGAACATAAAATCTATAGTTCGAATATGTTATTTATTTATAAAAATCTTCATGAACGCTGTTAAATTGCTTGATACTAGCGAAAAGATTATGCACGTGCAGCTCGTGTTTTGGAGTTTCATAGATGTCAGATTTCTTTTTTTTTTATAAAATCTTGTAGAATGATTTTAGCGACATCTGTGCTTAGAGCATTGAAACTTTTTCGTCGATCCTGTTTTATCGACCGATCACTATAAGAGCTAGCGCGCCTGGTGATTTTTGACAAAAATCACCGTGACATTAATGTCAAGTTTTTGTCATTGTCACGTCACGTTTCCAAAGCGGAGTGCGCTCACGAAGGAGTGACACTGACAATTTTTTTTAAATCGAAGCGTCATTTGCCGACATGGACTTCGAAGAGACGGTCGTTATCTGTGAACTCATCAGTCTAACGAGAAAAAAAAAGTTTTAAAATTACTAGGTATAGGAGTGACAAGCTAATAAGTGGAAAGTTCTACACTACGTTTTATAAAATTCAAGAACATCTAAATATATTTTTTCGATATTTCGAGAACGAGTGTTAGAAGTTTTGATGAATTACTTCGCACTTTAGGACCTGCAATAACATACAAAAATACGAACATGACATTGTCTGTCCCAGCTGAAGAATTAGAAGCAGAGCTGCTATGAAAACCAAACGGCGCGATGACAGTTTCGTCACCGGCTTGTTCGTCGGTCGGCGTACGTAAATGTCACCCAGTTGTCACGTCGTAACATGCGCGCATCTTCACTCCGTGTATATCTAACGACTTAATATGAGTGACGAAACAGTCACGGTGACAAAAATCATTAGTGCATGCTAGCTCTTAGTGCTGAACTGTATAGTTTATTGTCTGTGGTTGGGTGTTTCACTTACCTCTTAGTTTCACTGACCCCACCTGACCTTATAGTCAGAAAAATAAAACAATAATTTTACCCAATCCATATTTAAAATAATTTATTTTACTATAGGTACATATAATATATTATATTACAATAAACAGATTGAAATAAAAATATATAGATACAAATTAGAAGCCAATTCCATACGGCGAATAATTGTGCCACATAAAGTTGCTAAGCAAATGTTCAGACATGGCGCGTATTTCTAAAGATATGATACAGCGCCATATCTGAACATGATATGATTGTCGTCTTTCATTGAAATTAAATTCGCATAATGACCGTGGTTCCGGTCCTTTGAGGCGACGGCACATGGCGAGTTTGCCATTAAAACCGATATTTCCTCAGCGTGAATTCTGAAGTTAACTCTGTTCGAACTGAGAGATCCCGTCATCATTCTTTGGAAGCTATTGGTCAATACCCACAATTCTTGCTCTCCTTTGAGGTTGTTGACAATTTTTAAGCCGCTTGCGAATTGCAATGTTTCTTGATTAACGGCGACCGGATGGAAGTTCCGTGGGGAGAATTCCGTCTCGGAGTTCCAGCACCAAATGCTGGGTGGGTCCATCAGACCGAAGTACAGGATACCGTTACGGTCCATAGCTTTGGCAACAGATTGGTTAGGGCGCTCTTCGGGGAATACCTGACGACAAAAATAACATTAAATAATTTGAGTATAAACTAACTTTATAGTTTAATAAAACTAAAAGGACTCTCATTGATCATGAGCTGTAATTTTTTTTAATTTATTTAGGGCAACCAACAAGACGTACAAGAACACAATGTAAATACTACAAATTGAAGTCTTGAAATATCTAAGTGTCGTCTTAAAGGTTGCAACGGCATGCAATGTGGACAACGATTGTGTTTCTTAAAACTTACAACTATAAACTTAAAACTAGGTCTAAATGTTGGTTAACAGTAAAGGACTGCATAATTTTTAACTTGAATTTTTGAGACTTATCTGCAAAAATATCAACGTCACATGTCTTGCAGAGCTGGTTATATTGCCTCTGTAACCTGTTTATGGTGGCGTGGTGACCGAAATTAGTTTTACTGCCTTCCACTGAAAAGGGGACGTATCGGCTGATGCTCACTAGCTTAAAAGGTACATTGAAATTTATTGCACTTAGTAGATATGGACAGTGTACGGTTCCGTTGACGATTTTGTGTAGCAACATGAAATCTAGCAAAAGCCTTCGCTGTTGCAGGCTACTTAATTTAAAATACGTCAGTCGATCTTCGTATGAGGGTAGATCCTTTCCTTTATTTTGTAAGGTTGGTATGAAAGATGCCACAAGTAACGCTTCTGGATACGCTCTATGAGCTTCACGTAAATGTCATAAAATGGAGACCAGACTTGGCTACAGTATTCAAGGCTGGAACGGATTAAAGACTTGTACAAGGAAATTTTTGTAGAGGTCCTCTTAAATTCTTTAGAATTACGCATCACGAACCCCAACATTTGAAGACCCCTTGTAACAATTCCATCAATGTGATTACGAAACCGCAACTTTTTGTGCAGAATCACACCCAGATCTCGAACAGAGTCCACTTCTGCCAAAGGATGACCATTAATATTATACATAGGTGTCGGAACATTTACACATCTTGAAAATCTTATAATTTTACATTTATCGAGGTTCAAAAATATTCCGTTCTTAACGCACCACACCGTGTCCTCCCCCTCTCTTCGGACCTCGGATAATCCTATAATATTCCAGCGCAACTTGTCTACCTCTTCTCCAGTATCTTCTCGTCAGTCCTCAGGGTGCGTGCTTCTTCCACGAGGACACGGTGATCTCGAATCCGGCAACTTGTTCTATCACCGGGAGGGCGACCATCTGTCCCAAGGAGGTGTCGGATTTATCGTCCACAAGTCTCTCGTCAACAACGTTGTAAATATTGGGAGTGTGTCGACGAGGGTCGCGTATCTGATACTCAGAATCACCTAACGGTATTCGCTGAAGGTCATACAGGTTTACGCACCTCGGCACTTCCCGATGAGGAGGTGGAGGAAATGTATGAGGATATTTCCAAAGCCATGCATTCCTCCAAAACCCACTACACGGTGTTGATGGGAAACTTCAACGCAAAACTAGGCACAAGAGAAAACGGTGAGCTGAAGTTAGGGAAATTTGGAGTAGGGCAACGGAACCGAAGGGGCCAGCAGCTGGCCGACTTTATGGAGAAAGAGGGACTCTTTATGATGAACTCTTTCTTCCAGAAGCGACCCCACAGGAAGTGGACCTGGTCGCGCCCCGACGGTTCGACGAAAAATGAGATTAACTTCATTATGATGACCAGACGCTAACTGTTCAGTGATGTCTCAGTGATCGCAAGGGTGAAAACCGGCAGCGATCACCGAATGGTTAGAGGCACACTGAACCTAAACGTTAAGTTGGAGAGGTCTCGTCTAATGAAGTCAACGCTCCGTCCCCCTCGTGCTCTAATCCAGAATCCCGAAACCTTTCAGCTCGAGTTACCTAACCGCTTTCAGTGCCTAGAAGATTGCAATGCAGTGGACGATATGAATGACAAGCTCGTGGAAACTGTCCATGCATTCTGCAAGACCCGCCACAGAAGAACACAAAAACTCTCCGATCACACTCTTAATCTCACGGCTGTTAGACGGGAGATGAGGCTGCAATCGTCAACAGATTTGACAGCATACAGGCAACTGAACAGACAGATCTCCAAATGCATGCGGTGAGACTTACGCAACTTTAAAACTGCTCGTATTAAAGAAGCGATCGAGCGGAACCAGGGCTCCAAAGTCTTTGCCAGAGATCTGTCTGCCAGTAAGAGCTAACTATCAAAGCTGAAAACTGAGTGTGGCAGCATCGTTTCCGGGACACCTGAGATTTTGAGTGAGATTGAGAGGTTCTATGGGCAGCTGTACACATCATCGTTGGAGCCACACGCAAGTGTGAGTAACGATCCAAGAGCAAGTCTTATCCGACACTATTCCGATGATATCCCGGACGTCAGTTCTAAGCGAGATTAGAATGGCTCTCCAGCACCTTAAAAACGGCAGGGCCCCAGGCGAGGATGGAATTACAGCGGAGCTTCTGAAAGCGGGTGGAACACCGGTACTTGAAGTCCTTCAGAAGCTCTTCAATTCCGTCCTCCATGGTGGTACTACTCCAGAGGCGTGGAGCAGAAGTGCGGTGGTCTTGTTCTTTAAGAAAGGCGACAACGCTCTCTTGAAGAACTACAGACTGATTTCCCTTCTGAGCCGCGTCTACGTGCTGTTTTCGAGAGTCATTACGAATCGTCTCGCACGCAGACTCGACGACTTCCAGCCTCCCGAACAAGCCGGTTTCTGAAAAGGCTTCAGTACCATAGACCACATACATACCCTGCGTCAGATTGTACAGAAGACTGAAGAGTACAATCTGCCACTTTGCCTGGCGTATGTGGAACTATGAGAAATCCTTTGATTCCGTCGAAATTTGGGCGGTGCTACAGTCCCTTCAGCGGTGCCAAGTTGACTGTCGGTATATCGAAGTGCTGAAGTGTTTATACAGTAGGGCTACGATGGCTATTAGTACAGAACCAGAGCTCGAAACCTGTCCAACTGCAGAGAGGTGTAAGACAGGGTGACGTTATATCCCTGAAACTCTTCACCGATGCATTGGAAGACGTTTTCATTTTCAAGATACTGGACTGGAAAGGATACGGTATTAACATCAATGGCGAGTACATCACTCACCTTCGATTTACCGACGATATAGTCCTTATGGCAGAATCGCTGGAGGACTTAACTCCACTATGCTCAATGACCTCTATGGTACCTCCCAACGGATAGGTCTTAAGATGAACATGGACAAAACAAAGATTATGTTTAATGTCCATGTCACACCTATGCCGGTAGTTGTTGGGAGCACTATGCTCGAAGTTGTTGACGAGTACGTTTATCTGGGACAAATAGTCCGACTAGGTAAGTCCAACTTCGACCGAGAGGTCAATCGACGGATTCAACTCGGCTGGGCAGCGTTCGGGAAATTACGACATATCTTCTCGTCAGGTATACCTCAATCTCTAAAAACTAGATTGTACAACCAGTGCGTGTTGCCAGTGATGACTTACGGATCTGAGACGTGGTCCTTCACTGCTGGCCGTATGAGGACGCTCAAGGTCGCTTAGCGAGCTATGGAGAGGGCTATGCTCGGAGTTTCTCTGCGTGATAGACTCAGAAATGAGGATATCCGCAGTAAAACCAGAGTGACCGACATAGCCCAACGGATTAGTAAGCTGAAGTGGCAATGGGCCGGCCATATAGCTCGAAGAACCGATAACCGATGGGAAGAAAGGTTCTCGAGTGGCAGCCTCGTACCGGTAGGCGTAGTGTAGGGCGACCCCCACTAGATTGAGTAACGACCTGGTAAGATATGCAGAAAGTCGATGGATGCAGGTGGCTCAGGACCGTGCTTTGTGGCATTACTTGGGGGAGGCCTATGTTCAGCAGTAGACTTGTGAAGGGCTGTAATGATGATGATGAATGATTAACGCACCACAAAGACGTCCGGTCCAAATCCTCTTGCAAAACGAGTGAGTCACTGTGGTCTTTGATTTTCAAGGACAATTTCATGTCGTCTGCATACAAAAAGCAGGTCGCGTGTTTAAAATCAGACGCTAGGTCATTTATAATAATATTGAAAAGAATCGGACTGAGATGGGAATCCTGGGGAATGCCAGACGTAGGTAGAAATGGTTCTGAGGGGTAACCATTTACCACAACTCTCGATTTTCTCTGCCTGAGGTATGAAGAGAACCATTCGAGACGATTGCCGGTGATGCCCAAAATTGAGAGTTTGTGAAGTAAGATGTAATGATCTACAATGTGAAACGCCATACTGAAGTCTGTGTAGATGACACAGACTTCAGTATGGCGTTTCACATTGTAGATCATTATCCCGGCTCGACCGGGGAAGGACCACGCTCTCACAGAATACCAGCTTAAAATAGCAGCTTAATGCTGCTGTGTTTCGTATGGTGAGTGTTGAGAACCGGAAACCCTTTTTTATTGGAAAAGAGGCATTCTATCTTAGTTCTCAAGGCTGACAACACATCTTCATTTTGATTCGCAAACGAGGATGGATGGAGATGTCTATGGGCCACAGCAACCACTTACCATCAGGTGGACTGTGTGCTCGCTTGTCACCCTTTTCCTATAAAAAAAAAATTAAAAAAAAGATAATGTACACAGACAAGTCCGAATCGAGAGACTTGGAGACATAGTCCACAAACGAAACGAGATTTGTAGCTGTAGAGCGAGATGTTAAAAAGCCCGATTGTTGGGGTGAGATTATTTGTTTTATGTGCCAAGCCAAAACAGGACAAACTAATGATTCAAAAACTTTAGCGAAGACAATATGGATATTGGTCTGTAATTTCTGACGGATCCTGCGTCTCCTTTATAAATTGGGACGATAAGTGCCTGTTTCCAGTGCCAGGGAAAGTACCCGTTTTTAAAGACATATTGAAAATGTTTGCCAAAGGCATGGATAACGCTTCCCGCCAATTGATTACAAACAAAGGGGGGTATGTCGTTAGGTCCAGCTCCCTTGGCCCGATCTAGACCAGTAATGACCTTCGTGAGAACACTAGGTCATAGTCATGAAATTATTACATTGACAT